TTTTTTTTTGTTTTTGTTTTTGTTTTTTTTTGTTGGTTACTTAGCTCACGAAAGGTGAGCTTACAAAGATAATGACGTGAATAATTTTCCAAGGTGTTTAAAGAAGGTCTCTATCATTGCAAGCTCACCGCTCGTCTCGCTTTGATGCAAAGGCACAGCTAGCTTTCAAGATGACGTAGGAAACTTTAAAAGGGACTATTCTGTCGCAAAACAATATATTAACGGGAAACTCAGGAAGATCTTTTAACGAGATCGAAACAATGGTGTTGTTAAATTTTAAAAAATGATGTGTGTATATATATATTCCATATTTTCAGAATCTTTAAATATAACGGTTTTCAACCAAAGGTATATACACCTAATTGAAAAAACGTAGTCGGGTTCGAGAAGGTCATATCATCGAAGCTAAGACCGAAAGGATTTTGGGTACTCCGAAATGTGTATTATATTTGCAATGGACATGTAAAAATGCACAGTAGAGCGAAGTCGGTCGACCTAGATTAACAACATGCCAAAGCCATGATGCATAAAATGTGCACAGGAAGGGAAAACTGCAATACCCATGAAATTAGCATAATTGTTTGTCTTCCCATGCTCACCTTCGGTCTCAGCTTTGATGTGACAACCTTTTTTTGAACCTGACAACGTTTTTTCAGTTAGGTATATATGATTGACAGTAGTTTCCTGTCTTAACGCTCTTCAACAGGTGCATGTGCACCCCTAAAAAACCATCCCTTTTCATTCCGTTTCTGTTTCCCTTCATTTGTCACAGGTTCACCTATTCCTCAAAGGCGACCAAGGCTTTTGCTCAGCTGCGCAGCCTGGGAAAATGACCAAACTGACAACCTCAAAAATAAACATCCCTCCACAAGACACAGTCGCTTTCCCTATTACAATCGTTCCAATCAAATTTGGTAAAGTGCCAATCGAGGTCATAGCAGTTGGCGACATTGGAGATGACAGAGTCTTAAAAACACTGAATGTAGTTGTGAGTATATTTATGCTGATTTAGTTATAGAGTATTTATCATACGGATTTGTAGTGCCGTGACCATGATAGCATGGTAACTGTACGGTGCGCTGTGATTGGTTTAAAGGATATATTTTGATTTAATATCACTTATAATATCCTATAGCCCGAAGGTATTGAAGAAAGACTGACTCAGTCGTATGTACTGGATCCTCAAGGTATTACTACATAAACTTTTCTTTCTTTTTGAATTTTTGTTGTGTTAACAAAACATTCAGTGAAATAATCAGTAGAAGTCTTCCTCTTTGTAAAAAAAAAGGTCATCTTAGCCTAGCAAAGAGTTCTGTATAATAAATCCAGCAATCCAACTGCTTTCATTCCTTGTCACATCTTATAGAACTGCTAAAAGGAAGAAAAGAACGAGAGGAAAACCAACAAAACAAAGCTGAAAAACTTTCTTTCCAAAGTACACGTAAGTTATAAAGAGATCGACTTATTCAAGAAAACTGCAAATAATTAAGTGCGTTGACTTTTGGTCTTCTCTAATAACTATTCAGAAGCACACAAAGACTTCAAGCAGAAGAATAAAATCAAGTTGGACATACCAAAAAATGCAATCCCTGGATCAATTTCTGCCAAGGCTTACTTTACTGGTAGGTATAATGCTCTCAAAAGTGTGAGATTAAAGTTCAGCTTCTTCTTTATCTCTCAATGCGTACAGTATGATCTGCTTGTACAGGCCTACATATCTTTACTACTGTCTTTCTCATCCAGGTGATTAAGTTTCTATCATTTTCCACTGTGAGCCACCTTGTTGTTCTTGGTCTTTTTTCGTTTCTTTTCACGAACTGAAGATGTAAGGGTAAATCATTTGCTATTCAATGTCTAGGTTTAATTTCAAACTCAAAATTCAAGTTCCTGYTTTCAGTGAATAGTACTTTCCAGAATTCGCTTGGATGACCACAAAATACTTGTTTGAAGTCGACTTGATTGAAACTATTGTTTTGTGACCAATGGAATATGGAAAAGGTTTATGAKACGTACGTGCCACGACTTAGATCGGCCAAGAAATTGCTTTTTTTTCTCTTAAGGCAACATGATTGGACAGGCCCTAACTAATCTGGCCGCCGGACAAATGGTGTCTCTCCTTCAGATGCCTGATGGTTGTGGTGAACAGAACATGGTGAGAATAGCCCCTAATGTTTATATTCTACATTATCTGAAGAAAACGAACCAGATGACTCCAGAACTGGAAAAAAAGAAAGAGAAGTTCATCCAGGAAGGTATGTATGCACCTAAACAAATTAACTCGGTGGCATTCATAATTCTGATGTTCAAGACAATTTATGGTAGCATAGAAAAAGAATCTGGTTTCTTCAAATAAAACGTCTTGAAACAAAAAAACCCTTCTTTCTCCCTGGACACATCTATTGTAAGCTTCTGTCATATCTCGATCTTTTAATGAAATACAGGCATCAATTGATTTCACCAATGCGCATGTGCCTCTTAGGTTATATACATGAATTGAACTACCGCAAGAAGGATGGTTCTTTTGCACTTTTCAAAAGAGAGTATAATAAAGGAAGTACATGGTAAGTTAGGACTATTTTGAAAAATTAAAATGGCAACTAACGAACCGATCCACCAAGACAGTAACCAATCAACCGACAGACAGAACGACCGACCGACCGACCGACCGACCAACTGACTGACCAATCAACCAACCGACCGATAGGCCAGCCGGCCAACCAGCCAACCGACCGTCTGACCAGGCAAGCTGACTAACTGGTCGCTGGTATGGTCGCTGACTTCGGTTACAGTGTAAGCAAAATTTAGTGTTATATGTCAATAAAAAATAATATATATCAATAATATATCATCTATTATATCCTTTTCAGCTATTCCCATCGTAGTCCAATTTCGAAAACAATGCAATGCCGACTTTTAACCTTTTAACCCTGGTGTTGCCTATCCCATTAAACAGCTTTTGGGATTGCAGTAGACAAATGGAATGCCATGAATTGCTTGTCTTGTATAACTTGTCATATATTCTAGGTTGACAGCATTTGTCTTGAAAGTCTTCTGTCAAGCCAGCAAACTAAGTGGTGTTAATATTGACCGTAACGTCTTATGTCAATCTGCAAAGTGGCTGATTGGAAACCAGAGACAAGATGGGGCATTTGTAGAACATGCAAACATGAGATCTATTCAGGTTGGTGTTGCAACTATAATAGTCCCTTTCATAGTTTCCTGAGCCGTGGCTTTGCATTGAAGCGATACGAACGGTGAGCTTGCAAGCAATGATAGATAGCTTTTTTTAACACCTCACCGTTTGTCTCGCTTCGATGCAAAGACAGGGCTACCTTTCAAATGGCGCAGAAACTGTGAAGTAGACTATTACGTTTGTGCAATAAATTGACTGAAAAGGGTTTTATATATGGTTTATTCACATGTGGTTTCATATAATCACTTACTCTCCTACATGGTTTCATATGCATGGGAGAAACTGTGTGGATGTCGTATATTGATTATGATACTTACTTACACCAGCTCATGCTGCCCATGAACGTTTTTTTTTTTTTTTTTTTTTTTTTTTTTTTTTTTTTTTTTTTTTTTTTTTTTTTTTTGGTAATCTTTTTTCCTTGCTAGGGCGGTGTGTATACAAGTGATGTGACGTTAACAGCAGCTGTGGTTATTGCACTAAAACAATGTCAGTGTGGAATGGTAAGCTTGTATGCTTAATGCAATTTTAATCTCCTATACATTTGATATTTGGACATGCAATTAAACGTCCTAATAGGCTATAGCTTTACAAACTTTTAATTGTCCTGCAGTTTACAAAAACGAGGCTACAATAACGTGCTTAGTTTAATTTTATCATTGCCTCTATGATTTCCATTTTTTATCTTAAAAATCGTTGTTAAAGTACTATTTTTTTCTAGGCCGAGGTTAATTCCGCTGTGGAGCGTGCAGTTGGTTTTATTGAGAAAAACGTTACGACTCTTGCTGATGCCTACAGTCTCGCAATAACTACATATGCTTTAGTATTAGCTAACAGTCCTGAACGATTCAGAGCCAACCAAAAATTAATACAAAAGGCAACATATAATCAAGGTGAGGCAAGTATGTTGCATTAATCCATATTTCTTAAAGATAATCAAATACTGGTATGTAGCAGAAAGGAAAAGGGGGAAGCAGGACAAAGAAAACATTTGACATAAAGAATTACATCAAAAATTGACCAGCTCAATCGCATAATCAACTCTTTCTTAAGTTTACCTTTGTCTTAAGAAGGACATTTTTTTCAATAATGAGCAATAATAATGGCAAAAAGCGCCAAAAACTAGACCTTCGTATGAGTTTTGATCCCAATTTTTGTTTTGGGTTAACCCTCAAAACCTTTCTTAAGCAGTTAGAAACTGATGTACTATGATAAAATGCCTGTTTGAAGCGGTATTTTGAATTGTACAAAGATGTTTTGTTGCATTTGTGTTAGAATGTTGCTTTGTCAGGATTTTTTATAGAAAATATATGGGAAATAAGCAAATGAAGGCGTAAACCTCATTTTTAAATAAATTTTTTGCTTTGGGTTAACACTTTGATTCCACTTTCATCGGTCATCTCCACTTCCAAACAAGTTAATCTTTCCGAATAACAAGATTTTAGCCTCGTACAACAGCCTTTCTTCAAGAAAATAGTTTTTGGCCCTCACTGCTTGAATGCGAAAAGACTTCTCTCTTAATTCACAAACGTTTTCTTACCATTTATCTCATACGTTATTTATGGCTGGACACAAAAATGAAGGGGACAACCTGGGGTGCATGTGACAACATAACCGCCATGATTGAATTTCAAAAATGATCCTATCTTGGTATCATTTATCATGTCAACCAATATGGCCGCCACATCTTTAGTCTCTTTAATCTAATGGAAAGTGATTCACACCACCAATAGGCCAAGGCAGTGAAAGTCCGTACAATATGTATTAACTAATCCTGCATTCTTGATCTATCCATAGGATCATCCAACCGATACTGGGAGACAGGCTCAAAGGCCCGTAACATCGAGACCGCTGGTTACGCACTGATGGCTCAAGTGGCCTTGAACAGATTTGAATATGCTGGTCCCATCGTAGTCTGGTTAACTAAACAGAGAAGCTTTGGAGGAGGCTTTGTGTCAACTGCGGTGAGTATACTTGTAACTTCTTTTTTTCAACATATTTCATATAAGTGTTCGTGACGTGTCAAGATAAGACGCATTGTTTGGTTTTGGTCCTCCAAACGTTTTGCAGACGCAAATGCACCTATTTTGATRTAACGTTGATAATGGAAGATCTGGAACGTTTGAACTGAAACCGATAGGAATTATGGGTTGTCGCGTGCTTATGTCATTCAACAGTCATTCGCTGTTATCACGCTTTAAAACTGATAACAATAACAAAATTAACTTAGTTATTCTAAAAAACGCTTGTTGGAAAACCCAAAAAAGTCACACTTTTTAATACGCATATGTAATGTTTCAAATACGAGTTGCTGTTTTCTATTGGGGTTTCAAAATCCGAGTGGAATTTCAAATGCCGAGGCGTAGCCTAGAACTTTGAAATGGTGCGGTCGTATTTGATGGGGGCTTCAAACTACTGTACGTGGTACAAATAAGAAACCCTGGTTGGTCGATGAGCTCATGAATTATTAATGAGTAAAATATATAAACTTCACGATATTCGAAGAGGTTTCCGAGGTTCCGGTTTGCTTCATGATTAAGGTTGGCTTTTGCAATCGTCCTACAACTATTGTTGATGTGATGCCAGCGAAATGTTGATTAAATTTTGCATTTAAATCACATAAGCGCTTAAAAACCTACAATTCCTATCGGATCAACCGTGCCAGATCATTCGTTATCAACGTAACGGAAATAGATGTATATTAGTACAGAGCTATCAAGTGGATGCGCATTAACTCTGCGCATTAATTCCAAACAGAAAGAGGACAATGTAATGAACCTGTGACATGTGACCGAACACTTCAATGAAATACGATAGAAATGATGAATGTAATGAAAATAATACTAAGAATAATCTAACGATCGATATTCAAGTAGGACTTGTAGTTGTTAGCCCCAATTGAGTGTGCTAGTGAAGTGAATGCATATGTACAACGATAGTGTTTGTTTTTCTTTTAGGATACCTGTGTTGCCCTGGAATCCATCGCAAAGTATAGCGAGCAGAGACAAAAGTTCCAGCTTGACTTGAGGATAAGAATGAAGAACAAGATAATGAGGATCACCAAGAACAATGCCTTCATGCAGCAAGAAGCAGATGTAATTATATATTAGTATTAATAAATATCCAGATAATTGGAGCATTATAGTTAGTAAAGTTGGTTAATCGTAAGATGTATATACACTCAATTGAAGAATCGTTGTCGGGTTCAGAAATATAGAACATAGAAGCTGAGACCGAAATGGCACATGGGAAGTACGTTAATTAGATGCATGCTGTGACCGGCGACCCGTGGCATCATCCACTGTTTTTATTATACGCGTTTGGCATTCTAAACCGACTGGCATGGATGGCGCAAATGAATAAATTATAATATAACTATGTCATTTCCCCTGTGCCATTTCAGTCTCAGCTTTTATGTTCTATGTTTCTGAGCCCGACAAAGATTCTTCAATTGAGTGTATATGTAGATAGACGGACACTAAGAAAAATGAATATGGATTGGTGATAGATAGGTTGCAATTTCTGAGACGGATGGCCAGACGCGGGACGGGTGGACAGAAAGATGCATTGGTGTGGATGCATAGACGGATGGATGGATTATAAAACTTTCGAAATATATTAATTCAAAAAATGTTTTTAAAACTTATTTTAGCTTACAGAACAAACAGGAGACGAAGTTGGCATCCAGACTTCAGGCAGTGGTGTAGGCCAAATGCAGGCAAGTTAAATTAACTTTCAACTTAAAACTTTTGAGGTGTGAAGGAGCTCTAAGGGCTGTGTGGAACGTTTTGTTCCATTATTGTATACTACGCTGGAACGAGTTCTCCCTCATATGGGAACTGTTCTTTCATTTTTTATTATTCTATTATTATTTTATTATTTTATTTTATTTTATTTTATTTTATCTTATTTTTTCAGGTTGATATCAAGTATAACGTTCCTTACAAAGAAAACGAAAGATGCGACTTTGACGTAAAGGTGATTGCAACCGAAGAAGGTTCTGGGCGTTTCATATCTACTACTTCGTCCGCCAGGAATAACGTTCCAGCTCGTTCAAGGTCAAGGCGAGCTCTGAAGGCAAAATCCGCAAAATCAAAGAAAAGAAAGGATAAAAACCAAGCCAAAAAGGGAAAACCTGGCAAAAGCAAGAAAAATAAGAAAAGGAGGAAAAATAATCGAAAGAAAAATCAAAAGAAACATCAGAAGAAAAATCAGAGGAAGAATAAAAGAAGGAATAAAGGAAAGAGCAAAAAGAGAGAAAAAAATAATAGAAAACCTCAAAGCATTGACATACCAAAAAAACTCGTATTAAGGGTTTGCACAAAGTAAGTATGATGGATGGATGGATTATAAAACTTTAGCTTAATCTAGATGGACCAATACTTATATTTCTTACTTTACTCTAAAAAATATCGTATTATTGAGTTGCTCGGTATTGTACATGTAGACTCTTATGCAGGTCTAGCCTTTATCCGTTCAAGATAAGGTATATATTCGCAAGTACATGAGTAAATTGTGGATCAAATTGGAAACCAGTATTTGTTTACCACTATTTAACAAACATATACACCTAATTAAAAAAACGTAGTCGGGTTCGAGAAGGTCATATCATCGAAGCTAAGACCGAAAAGGATTTTGGGTACTCCGAAATGTGTATTATATTTGCATATAGACATGTAAAAATGCAAAGTAGAGCAAAGTTGGTCGACCTAGATAAACATGCCAAAGCCATGACGCATAAAATGTGCACAGGAAGGGAAAACTGCAATACGCATGAAATTAGCATAATTGTTTGTCTTCCCATGCTCCCCTTCGGTCTTAGYTTTGATGATATAACCTTTTTTTGAACCCGACAACGTTTTTTCAATTTAGGTGTATATGCTATTCACATACCACAAATAGACTAAGGTGGCAATCAACCAAACTAACTAGAAGGCGTTTTGCACTAATTGATACACTTATTAAGCGGCGAACCTCTATTGAATATCCAGTTGCCAAAATTTCCAAAAGAGAGTTTTACGCTAATTCACAACTCTATTAAGCGGCTAGCCTCTCTCTGATTGAATTTTTGGGCCACTTTACGGGTCCTAGAGGTTCCTCGACGTCTCCCGCATGCACTGAGAATGTACTGGTAAATATGATTAATGCTAATCTTCTTAATAGAAGTAAGTGTAAAATATATAGTTGTGGTACTTATGGCATATTATTACGGGGAACTGACCAATTGAATGTGCCACTTCATGAATTAGATACAGGAAGTCTGGACAAACTGGGATGGCCATAATCGAGGTTGGTCTTGTAACTGGATTTTCCGCCGACGAGGACACCTTGATCAAGGTTTGTTTATATATTCTCCTTTTATCTTAACATTGTGGTAAGATGTAGTTAGATTTCAAGATGCTAGTGAACACTTATTGTAAAAGAGTGACTGCATGAGAATCTTAAAAGACACTCCTCGTAATCCATTAATCTAGTAATAATGATCATATCTTATTCTTGACGCGCACTAACAAATGCTGAAACATTTTGGGACTAGATAGAGTAATTTTTTTTTCACAATTTTTTTTCTGCAAAGAAAAGGTTTTTTTCTTTTTGTTGCTCACCATGTTTCAAAGCGCATGCGCGTGAGCGTGCGCAGAAAACAAAGTATATTGTGAAGACTTAAAGTTCTTGAACTATTTCTAGCTGGTTGAAAAAAAGAACAACAGTATTGAAAGATATGAGTTATCAGACAGAGCAGTCGTATTCTACGTAAATCAGGTAAGGATAACGTCTTCATAGCAAAGTCGTAAAGGTTTTCGTAGGTTGGATTCATATTATGAAACTAAAATTGACTCATCAACCTTTAAAAATAATTTCATATTTTCCTTAGCTTTCGACCGACACGGTCATCCTCAGAGGAACTAAAATACGTTACATTATTAACAAAAACTACGCGATCAAACGTTGTACATATGCGCGAGCAAAAGAATCGCGCGCACATGAAAGCAAGAGCATTGAAAATCACAAAAGATTTATGTAATTTGCTGGCAGAATTCTGCCACTGTCTCTATTAAAAATAATGTTCTTTTGCCTTGATATCTCACATGCTTCCAGCCACTTTCTTTGGTTCCATCCTTGTTCTTTTTTAACGATTGAAAGTGTTATCCCAATGGATTGAGTGCCCCGTTTCATGTGCATGCTGGGCTAAGGCTGATCAGTTTCTGCTTACGTTTGATCGCGTAGTTTTTGTTAATATTGTAACGTATTTTTGTTCCTCTGAGGATGACCGTGTCGGTCGAAAGCTAAGGAAAATATAAAATTATTTTTAAAGGTTGATGAGTCAATTTTAGTCTTCATAGCAATCAAAACTTTAGTCCTAGTTGTAAACGCAACTGATGCTTTAGGGTTTTTTAGCTAAAAGCCTTGCTTTATCAGTTATAGTTTGCTTTGGTACGTGTGTTTATAAGTGTATGTCTGTCTATTTACTTGCTTGGTTCTAGATTCCTTTTACAGTCTTATAGTAGGGCATATTATTAGGACATTATAGAGGCTTTGCACCATTACGTGATGGCAGCCATGACAGGAGGCAGGAATAATCGAATCTGGTCTAGTCTAATTTACATTTAGAAATTCAGTTTCCCAAGGAAGAACGACTCTATTGTTATGCCTCATGTCATGGCAGCCATCACGTGATGGAGCAAAGCCTCTATTACATTACGTAACAACTCAATTACCTTTCTTTCAATTTTGTCAGATCGTCAATTCTCGGAGAATCTGCATTGCATTCCACTTGATTCGTATCTTCGATGTAGGAATAATTCAGCCCGTCCCTATCAAAGTCTATSACTATTACGAGCCCGATACCAAGTGCACCCTTTTCTACAACCTGGGGAGTAAAAGGAGGCCAGTTGGAAGCTGCAAGAAAGAAAAATGCAAGTGTACACAAGGTGAGACGCAAACAAGATGTAAAGAGGTGGAGGACAAGTGCCGAACAACCTAATTATAAGGGATGTTTAGAGAGGATGGGATGTCAGACTTCATATGAGGTCATGTATGTATGTGTGTGTGTTAGCCAGGCGGGGGAGGCAGGGACATATAATGTGGGAAGGATAAAAAAAGAAAGAGACGCGCGCCGTAACGTTTATAATTAAGCGTTCTTATTCTTATTTATTTATTCATTATTATTCTTATTTATCAAATAATATTATGGGCCTAATTGGAAATAATCTCACTGCTTTATTAGTTCACCCGAGTAAAGATTATTAATATTATTATTATTATTATTATTACTATTAATAATATTGGTTAAAGTATTAAGAGTGTATGGCCAAGAGTTATGAGAAAGAGGTTTTAGAAATATGGCCAACCTTTGATTGACTTTATACTTAATGAAATATATAGGCATGTGTGCTGAACCCGATCCTTACATCAATAATATCGACGATCTGATCAATGAAGTCTGCAATGTCTATAACTATGGTGAGTAAGTGCAGTATTGGGGGAAATCTCACTAAAATCTCACGGGACTTGTAATGAAATCTGTGAATAGCTTACTTGTAAACGAGGCTAAACCTGTGGAAGTGAGTCTGTAGGTTTTAAAAAAACAGAGGCATGCGTGGAATGCGAAACTGCTGGTCTATAGAGCGGGTGCAATGTTACTTCATTGCCGCCATCTTGGTTGAAGATAAAAAAGCATTCCCCATTAATGTTTCTTGTTAGATCAACGAAGATGGCGGCTGTTGCATTGTTGTTCATATCTCAAGGGATTTTGAATCACATGGCTGCACACATTCTATTGAGTTAATGGAAATAAAAAGTCAGTATATATAAAGCGCGTTTCCGGATTTATGTCAGGAAGTGGAGATGGACAATTGGTCGATGGGGTGGATAGACAGGGGGAAAGATGGACGGATGTTATATTTATTTGAAATAGTTTATATACGAAGTAAGTCTTGTAATCCACGTGACCCTTTTGTTTCCAGCATTCAAAGGCAAGGTGGTAGGAATAGACGAGAATACTGATACCAATCCAATGGCCATGACATATCAAATCAACATAACACAGATCATCAAACAAGGCAGTTCAATATTCCAAACCCAAAAGGCTTACTTATTCAATAAGCCAGGTATCTGCCACTACCCTGATTTTGAGTTTGAAGATGAGGTTTTTATCATGGGCAAAAACAAGAATGGTGTGCAGTTCCTCGACAGGGACACATTTGTGAAGACGCTGAGTCGCAGACAGCGATTCGTGAATAAGATAGCGAAGCATATCCGTCACGGGAAGTGTACGTGATTCACTTTGAGCAGAAAGGATGCCTTAAAAAAGAAATTCAGAGTAATCCCAAAGTCTATAAAATAAATTTTTTCTAGGTTTCTCTAAAAAATGATTATTATTTTAGTAAAAACTTAATATGTATCAGGGCTATCTTACGTTTTAATGCATGCAACCAATCCTATCCCATATTCTGATCGATTCGCACTTAGATATGCAACTAAATGTAGTTTTTGAAATTTTTTTGAAATTTCTAGAACCGATCATAAGTTTTATGTGTTATTATAACAAATCATGGTTTTTAAGATTACAATATTTTTGCTATGTGCCACGTGTTACTTAAAACATACACTTTTTTGTAATCCGGCATCAAATACGCTATCAAAATAAAATTGACGAAACCAGTGTGCGTTTTTTTTTTGTTTTTTTTTTTTTTGTTTTTTTGGGCTAATCCATGCGAAAAGAGTTTCGCGCTACTGCTCTAAAACATGCTCAAGGGGACATAAAGTAAGACCTTAATTTGTAAAAACTGCTAATATTTTAATTGTTTTTTTCAAGATAATATTCAAGAGCAAGTAGCCAAATTTAGACCCCTTGCAGCACTATGGAATGTAGCTCAATCTGGGTGACAAAATAATAGGTTGCAATTCTCAGGAGATTGGAATTGTTTTGTTTTGTCCCCCAGATCGAGCTGCTTTGACGTCACATGCAAGGGTTCTATATCAAAATAAAGTGATTTTTACAACCCATGATATACCACTTTTTGACTCCTTAAGCATGCGCTTAGAGCCGTACCCCGGAACACTTGATGCATGTATACTTAAACATAATTTTCATTTTTTTTTTTTTTTTTTTTTTTTTTTTTTTTTACATTCATTCATTCGTTCAGTCTTTTAAGAAAATCGAATTTCTCAAAGACATTGCTTTAGGAATTGCTAACATTTAGAGTAGTTACTGAATTACACACTCCATGACTACCACTAGCAGTTCCCTTCAAACCGAGTAGGCACAAATAAAACTACTCCATGCTGTAATAATACTGCATTTTATAGCGCGTATATCAACTATTTTCTCATGGCGCTTTACAAAACTTACGAAATCTTCTCGACTTTTTCGCGAATTATCGACTAAAAATTACACAAAAACTAAAACAATATTAGCAAGAAAGTCTGGAAAATAAATGTCTTAATGACAATGTTCTTTTTAAAAACAGAAACTGAGTTACATTTTTGCATAGCCATACAAATTCCACGAAAAACAATATTCATTCTAAGCGCGCAATTTCTAAAAACAATAAGTTTTCAAAATCTTTACAGCCTTTCGATTCCCTTGCCTTCAGCTATTCCCTAGGCACTTCCTCCAACGGTCCTATTATTGTCACTCTCCACGCCGCCTTGCATGATTTATTAAAATACCAAATTATTGAGTTCCATTCAAGTTGACATGCTATTTTTCATTTCCTTGATAAAAATCACAGATTGTTTTTATTTTGTTTTCTGTTTTTATAATTTTTTTTTTAGCTACAGATTTTGCTCTAGGGTTTGTTTTTCTTTCCCAAAAGAAGCCAGACTGATTGATTGTGTTGCTTTGCAGCTAAATTTTCACGCGCAAAAACTAGTCTTACTTTCTCGCTACAAACAAGAATATTAGTGGCTGCTAAGCACATCCTCACGTCATCATTGTTATTGTTCACGGACAATGAAAATAAATATGCTCTTTAGGACTCGTCATTAAAGAATAAGATCATTTTGTATATTCAAATGCATAGTACACAAACGACTTTAAAAATCAAAACCTGAGTTAAAGCTGTGTTCGTCAATATTAAAGGTAAATTTACTTGGTATTTAGTGGTTGTAGTCGATAGTTGTAGTATCATTTTAGCTGGAGATCCGATTGAGATTTTTATTATTCTTCGCAAATACTACAATTACTATACCATTTAGCTAAAAATTGATATTGTTGATTAGTACGTACACAATTGCAGGATTTCATCTTTAAGGAAAATCCTCTTCAAAAGTATAAAGTATTTCCTGTGTCTTGAAAATAATTTGAAGCATGTACAGGTGAACCTTATACCATGCTTTACTGTCGATTAAATTTACTTTTTGTAATTTATATCTATAAATACATAGTTTCAGTCTTCTGCCATCGATAAAAATAATTTGTGATGAAAATCATAGCAAGTAGCCCTTTTAATAGAATTTTTTGTTTTCCTTACAGCTAAAAAAAAAATCCGTTAGAGTAGTTTCCTCTGTCGAAAAAAATTGCAATTTTCTTATCAATCGACCCTTATTAGACCAGTTTGAAGAATATGGCGACGAACCTAAGTGGTAGGTAGCGATTTATCAATTACAATTCTAGCAACAAAAAAATATCAATATTTACAGCTATTTACTGAGTTGTGCATAATGTCTTGTGGTCGACAATAACGTAGAATAGCAGTAGGCGAAAATATAATACTAATAATATAGTTTTCTAAAGTAGCAGCAAGAGCTAGAAATCCTATTTTAGCCGATGAAAGGTATATATTCGATATACGATTCATTGTTATTATATATATATATAAGTTAACGTCGTATAGACGAAGGAAATTGTTCTCGTGAATGATATACCTGAGGTAACCGTCAACCAAAGGTTTGTTCATTTTAAAATTTACGAGAACTGAATATCAGACAGGAAAAGAAAAAACTGACAAAGGTTGACTTAAATAAGAGAAAGAAAGAGAATGATGCAAAAAAGATATGAAATTAAATAAGGAAAATTTTTAGATAGAATTTGATTGAAGGTGAAGGGCGAAAAATAAAAGAAGAAAACGGGAATAATATTGAAAATTAGGAAGGATGAAAGAAAAGAAAAAAGCAGTGATGCATAGGAAGGAAGGAAGAAAGGAAGGAAGGATGGAAGAAAGTAAGAATGGAAGGATGGAAGAATGGAAGAATGGAAGGATGGAAGGATGGAAGGAAGGAAGGAAGGAAGGAAGGAATGATTCCAGCCACACCTTATACTTAAAGACAAAGAATAACAGTACATGAAGCTACAGTAGTTCTATAAATACCGGTTTTCGTGCGAGACACTATGTAAGCAATTTGTGAATTTAATCGACTTACTTTAATTAGAACCTCAATCTACTTTAGTCCCTAAGCCCTCTAATCTTCTTGTTCACCGTAATATTCTTTTCTTAATTACCAGAACGTTATTGACAATTTGCAAGATTTCATTGCAGGCCTCTTTTAAGGTTTATTTCCTTTACCATTGCCATTATCATGCGTAATCTTTTCATGTTTCAATTTTGCAAGTGATGCGTTTGAATTAACTGCATATTACTCCAACAGCGCAATTTTCATCAACTGTACCACAAATATTATCGGTAAATTAAAGTAAAATATGGCCAAAAACAAATTATTGTCTTGTTATGACTAGATTTGCAAAAGCTATCGTGCTAACTCAGGTTGGATTCCTTTTCTTTAGGTAAATTAAAATCGAAGTCAGTTTCTAATTCTGGATTCTACATTTATTCTCATTCATAACCAGTTACTGCAATTTCCATAAACATTCGAACTCTGTGTCTCCGAGTTGCAGACTGAAATTTGGTTTTTCGCTGCCGGCACTTAAGGTACCGACTGATTAGGTTTGATTGACGGCAGCGAAAAAACAAATTTCAGCGTGCAGCTCGTAAACAATTGTCCATCCATGAAAATCGCAGTTAACTGATATGCAAGGAGTATCATCATCCTATCATCCTATTAATCATAGTTAATCGAGGGATTGGATCGGATATTATTGGATATCATTTCAAAAGAATGAATCTTGCTAAATCTTGATAGAATATCAGATATGTAGACTATATTATCCTAACACACACCAATAGATTACTGCGACTAAGAAGTATCTTTACATCAATGCATTATTTCATACTTATTTTATGTTCAATAAGGACTTCGTGAGTTTATATTGTCGGTTTTATCTTTATATTTGACTTCGTTGAAACTCTACCGAAACTGGTGTTACGATGCAACGCATTAGCCATTGTCATGAAATTCATACTTTTGCAATTTTGAATTTTGAATTTTTGAAAACCTTATATCATTAAAAAAAGGATGATGGAGTAAAAAATTGTTTTCGATAACATTAGACCATCAAATGTAAACTTGCAATATCTAACAGACTCTCTCCTCTAGGGAGACATATATTTAACGCTGCCATGTATTATTTGAAAGTTCCATTTTCTATCGTGAGAATCCATCAAGCTATAACGGCTTAAGCACTTATTTTTGGATGAGTGCGTTATATTATATTGCTAATCAGTTGACTATCTAGAATAATTCTACGAGTTTTTAATACACACACGACACCAGTTTTGCCAGTCTTGCAGCCACAGTTTAAGGTACGATATTTTATTGAAAACTTTAATTTGTCTCTAATTCATTTTGAAAATTATTTTCCTGAATATTTTTTTGGATAGAAAAACCTTTCAAATGAAGGGATAACACTGTTCAGAATAAATGAAAAATAAAAGTAATTTTAATTGTTCTAAATTTTACGGTCGTCATTTCTTACTTTTCTCATAGTAGCGTATTTTCCACTATACATGTCTATTATTATAATCCAAGGATTAGCTCAAGAATAAGGAGTTTAAATATGCATATGGCTTTTCCTTCTTCTAGTAAAACACAAGTATATTTCATTATTATAATTTTAGACTTGAATATAGAGTTTCGCGAGCTGTGATTGGTTGAGCGACCGGTGATTCTGAGACGACAACCCGCACTTCTTGAGCGGTGATTATGCATGAGGTCAGTTCCAATTCGTCAGATTGGTAGTATTCTTAAAATGTTTTTTTATCCTGCATTTCGTCTTTTCTCTGATATTCACCTAATTATACTAAAACATTGATTCCCCTCAGGCTCAGTGAAGATGTGGAATACTTACCTCGCCCGTTGATAATCTATTCGTCTTTGGCAAATAATTGTTAATTAGTGCAAAAATGAGAGGAATAAATTAAGATGCGATTCAAAGTGAGATTGCAGTGAGATGTGCAGACAAGTGTAAATTGTAGTGTTATGGGGTTTCTCTGAGTGCAAATATTTTGGTTAGTTCATGAGACGGAACTGTTAGATTGGGTGCCTTCTTGCAAGCACTTTGCCATCTAGTTATTTTGCGCTCTACAATATAATAGTTCTAAAAACAATACCGATTTTACTAAGCGTTGAGTGTATTGACTCAGCCACTATTTGACAGTTAGATCACCTGCTTTTTGTTTTAATTTATGCAAATTATACCATCTAACGACCTCGACTGTTTTAAGAATGAATGAATGAGAGAACAGATGTAAACCGCCAACAGGCAAATGCTATTGTTAGACAAGACTTAGATCTTGTTTACTGATAAGTGTCTTTACAAAAACACTCGTTTTTTATAGAATGACCGTTGGTTGGATTTCTTTTATAAATGTAGTTTACTTCTACCTCAAGAGCTTTACTACAGCGTACAAAAATAAAACAAAGAAAGAGCGCAGAAAAGGGTCGCTGTTGCTATGAAAAACATATTCATACAAGTCTTCTCGCTTAAAGCCCAAGTTTAAAGAAAACTAATGTGATTCATATACAGATGGCTCTAATAAAGCATTAATGCTTTGATAGCTGTATTTATAACAGTTGGAAAGAGTTAAATACAAAATATTTTACTATAACGAGCGATCAATCCCTTGAGTCAAGAAATAATCTTTAGGTTAAGTAAATATTTTTGATCAAAAAGAACATCATCTTTTCAAGAAATATATTTCACAACGATTAATATTTTCCTAGTTTTCTTATTTTTTTATTCATTTTGGTTTTCAGAAGAATATATTTACATATCATTTAGATAATTATTATTAATTTGTCTTATTTTTCTTCAAATTTTGAATGATTTGACATACAGGTGGCATGTGCACACGTGAATGAATCATGGAACGAAAACCTAGCAACCACTTTCAACGCATATCAGCCTCTAAAAAACAATATTTTAAGAGAGTAGAAACAGATTATTTATTAAAGATTTATTATGGCTGTAGGTCTATTTGATGTGAGTTAATTTTTTTTTCAGTTGGAGGCCAATTTATTCCATATGAATTTCAATTTCAATGATGATATTCAAAAACAGAAAAGTTGGGGAAGTCCACTAGTCAAACAGAACTGACTGGGGCCGGTATGAAATATTCATTAGGAGAAGGAATACATTCGTTGGAGAGTCTGTTTATTTTCATCGAATATTTTCATTTATCAACAGAATAGATTCAAAGAGCCTCTGGTAAAAGTATCTAAAGCTATCATCCCTTTTTTGATGAGTGGCAACAGAAAAGACGATTGCTTGTATATTGGTGGACATCAAAAACTATCGAAACATCTTACCAAGGCGAAGTTAGTTCAGTTTGTCTTAGACTAGAGGATAATTCCCAAATATTTCTTGAAAAAGAAGACGAGCAGCCGTTACTAAGTTCGACTGCAAGTCAAAACCTTGTGAGGAGGAAGATTGGAAGTCACTTGCAGCTGAATTTAAAAGTAATTATTCATTACGAACTGGCCAACTAAAGCGACTTAAATCATCTTCACTGTTTGAAGTGCAAATAGTGTCTGAAATAAAAACGACAAATTCGCTCAGAACTGTATGTGTTCTCGGATTCCAAACACCTTTTATACGTTGATTACAAGCCAAGATTAGTTTTTGGTTATCATCGAGCTGCTGGGAGATCAGAGAATTAAATGTGGAAATGCATTAAGGAAATGCATGCCCTCGGGTTGCAAGAAGAAGAGAACCAACCGAGGCCCTTACGATATGATTATTTTCAGTTGAATTAACTCTTTGCCTTTTCGATTATCGCCACAACCAACGACAAATAGTCTTGACAGAGGTGATGATACTGCGATATAGACAAGAAAGGTGCATTTGGTTATTCTCATTACCAGCGTTGTGTTTTATTCCTACGCTGTGATACTAATCAGAGAAAAGAGGAAAATGAACTGAAATCGTGAAGTTTCAGAAGAATCCAGAATCGCCTTCGGGTATAAACGATGAATTTAATTCGAGAGAATTCAGATTGGTTTTAGTTATTAATGATATTAATGATACTTTAACAGAAGTATCGCTAAACTAAGAGCTTCAGACGAGTAGAGCATAAAACAGTCTGAGAAGATACTTGACGAGCTCCTTAGCACTGAGAAAAGTCAAGACGCTGATCAGGATTTTATCTACGAATTTATTACCAAGTAACAAGGAATTCCCCCAAACAAATCAGAAGAAAGAAAGGCGTTAGGGAAAACGCAAAAAGCAAGTTGAACAGGTTATTTTCTTGGTCAGATCGTATCAGTTATAAAAGCCTGATTCCTGCCATGAATGTTAGCGCTGGACTTGCACCATTTAACACTGTTTTCTCGGATGATATTCACGGGCGTCGCGGTAGTTGGGCTTCAACTGCAAGCGTTAACGAAACTTCTTTCGGCACTTATGGAGGTCTGGACCACGTAGACCAAGCGATCAAACGACGGCAAAGTCTTTCTGTGCACGCTTACCGCGCACGCGCAGGATCGATTTGTCAGGTGTTGCCTACTCGGGTCGAGCGTAAGAAAAGTGAATCGGAACCTTCTGATGTGTCTACAAGAACAAAAATACGAATCAACGTAAGAGGGAAGAAGTACGAAACCTTTAAGTCTACTCTTGAACAATTCCCTGACACACTTCTAGGTTCGTACGGAGGACGCTGCCGATTTTACGATTCTTTAAACGAGGAACTTTGTTTTAATAGAGACCCAAACTCCTTTGATGCAATTCTTTTTTTCTACCAATCAGGTGGAAGCATATTAGCCAGACCATCTTCAGTTGATGAAGATTTGTTTGCAGATGAGGTTAAATTTTTTGGGTTATTGGAAGAAACAGAAGAACTGGCTGAAAGTCTGAGCTCTGTACAGGAAGAAAATTTTACAGGGAATTTCGTGAATCTGAGGAGAAAAATGTGGAATATTTTTGAAAAAAACCCAGCAAGTTGCCGTTATGGGAAAGCGTTTGCACGAATTACAATGTTCATTATTTTGCTTTCTGTGGTAGCATTTTGCTTAGAAACCGTACCAGCATTGCAAAAACTGCCAATAGAAAATGATTCTAACGGTTCAGAAAGCCCGTCAAATGATGAGCAAAGTAACAACAGTTTGAATAAAACAAACAACAGAACTAAAGAAACCATACAGGTGTCTTCAAGTTTCGATGACGACAAAAAGCCTGATCAGCGGTATCGGAAGTTCTGGTTCTACGCAGATACAGTTTTTGTGGTGTTCTTTACTGCAGAATACATCGCTCGGGTGTTTTCGTCTCCTGACAGACTAAGATTCATCAGATCATTTCTGTCCATGGTGGATTTTTGTGCCATTGCTCCATACTACATTTCCCACATAGCCGAGGCGGGTAAATTTTATAACATTAAATCATTCAACGTTATTCGTGGCATACGTCTTTTCCGAGTCGTGCGTCTGCTTAAACTATCTCGTCATAGTAGTGGGCTGAAAATTTTGGGTCGTGCATTGTATCAAAGCCGTGCCAAAATGGTATCTTTGATATGCTGTATCGTCATGGCCATTGTCTTTTATTCAGGCTTGATGTACTATATTGAAGGATACGAGGAAGTTTCGAATTTTGAAAGCATCCCACATACCTTCTGGTGGGCGATCGTTACAATGTCTACTGTAGGATACGGGGATATAGTTCCTAAGAGCTTTGCTGGAAAGCTTGTTGGTACGTGTTGTGCACTAACAGGCATTATTCTATTGTTTATTTTGCCCATACCTTCATTCGTGACAGACTTTAGCAAACTGTACGAAAGATGGCTGCGAAAAAGAAAAAGCCCTAATAAACAGAAAGGAAGGATAAAGATTGAAGTATCAACATGGGAATGAAAAAAATATAGCCTTCACATTAATTCTGCGATAAAACATTGTTGATATGATATACACAAATTTTGTATTAGATAGCGAAATTACTGATGTCATAAAGTTAAACATTCAAATATATAAACATGAAAAAATGTAAGATGGAAATATTTATTTGATCGTACTACACATAGAATATTAATCAAATGAGTAACTGAAATATGTCTCATGATGCCGCTTTGTTTGGAATATAATTTAAGGAAGGAAGGAAGGAAGGAAGGAAGGAAGGAAGGAAGGAAGGAAGGAAGGAAGGAAGCGCTAGAAAGAAATAGAAAGAAGTAGAACGGTTGCGCATGAGAAGACGCTTTATTATGGATACNGAAGGAAGGAAGGAAGGAAGGAAGGAAGGAAGGAAGGAAGGAAGGAAAGAAATGAGAAAAAACAAAAACAAAAACAAACGTGACGACTGAGTCAGTTAACTAGGTAAACGAGAGAACGTAAAACCGCTTCAGAGGATCAGTTATTTCTTTTAATTTGTGTTCAATATATTCCAGAGAGTAAAGCTTGCATAAAGCAAGAATCAAGTAGCATATGTAACAAAAGCATCACAGACTCTTGACTCAATGCCTTTAACTAGAATACACCTTTCCTTATCATTTTATATAAACTACATTTCATATTCTGTGCATTACTACCGAATCTAGATTACATGTCAACAAAATGACGTCTCAAATTCTGCTTAATTTCCTCAAATACTTCGAGAAATACGTTTTTGAAACAAATTTTATTTTGATATAATTTTTATTGATATCAAACTACACATTATTCAAACAATTTTTTTGTGTGTTATAAACTTCAAAAATTCGTTTTAAGGCTCAACATCTGTCTACCACGCAATGTTCGCAACATCTTCCCATTGTTTTATCACACAAACGTGTAGCATGTCCATTATCAATATTGCCAAGTACATTACTTGAAATAAAATTAAGGATTTTGGTATCCGAAGTTACTTAAATCTGTCTGAATGAAGATATTTAGAAGAGTTTGTTAATGCGCATTATCCTTATCGCAGGTGTTTATCATGTGACGATTAATGCCAAGTGTGTCAGATACAGCTATTGCAAAAAAGGTTGAATACTGAATACTGCCGTACTGAATAGTGCATTCCAAGACCAATGGGCATTGTGGCTCTCGTTGATTTGAAATAAAAAGTAAATATACAGCAATCATCTCTCTACATGTAGTTAGTATATTGTTTCAGATGGAATACACTAAAAATAGAATAAATGATTATCATTAATCCTACTTTAGACAATTTCACTATGACCCACGATGCACTTCGGTCTTGGTATAGTAGAAACTAATAGCGCAGCGCAACCGTGACGTCATAAAAGCGAAGACAAAGGCGAAATTCGGACAAACAAACTTACAAGTTTACTTTCAGCAGATAATTTTCACAGCCGATCGCAGTTGAGTTTAGTTTACATGGGTTATTATTGTAACTTTAAGTAAAAATAATAAAATCGGTTCGTATAATCCTCGTAGCGGTTAAACAGAATGCAATGTTTGATGGAATCTTTAAGCTATTTTTAGAATCAGTGCGCTGCGCTATTCCATTGTTCTTTTGTTGTCATTTCACTATTACACACTAACAAATGATATACGCTTCACGGATTTATGAAAATCACTCTATACCAAGTGGGACATATACGTTCTTTTGTTCAGTTAATTAGCACCATTTGTCGCCATCATGCATGCAAATGTCCAAACGGACATTTAAAACGAACCACGAAAAAGGGAAGGAATGCAGCATGTATAAGACGCCACGAAAATTACATGCAAAGAAAAAGGCACATAATTATAATAAACTAAGAAAATAGGAAAACATAGTAAACAAGAAAAATCGAAAGAAGAAGAATATAAGAACAACGAAGCAAAAGCGAGAATTACGCAAGGACAGAGAGGGGCGAGCATGGAACATAAGACCCGGGCGGAGAGCAGGATGATGCCAAGGTCAAAACTTGTTTTACTTTTTACACTTAGTTTGTTCACACTAGAAAAATAACTGTACACAAAAAATAAAGACAAATTACCTACAACTGAGCAGGGTGGTCAGGATGTGGAATTAATACCGTCTGGGCTGCTGCCTCGGCCTGTAGGTTTGGTACATGATTATCCAACATGATGCTTAACGAAGACTTCGCAAGAGAGACGTGCTAGTAACGCTAGTTCCGTTGAAGTGGGCCGAATAAATTACCCGCTCGATTGTTATACTCACTCAACAAGGGACTGATGCGAATAGTAGGTGATTCGATTCTATAGACCGATCCCGGCTATGTTTAAGTGTCCACCTAAACAATGGGTAGTTTTCCCAATGGAATCCCATAGCTCACATTTTAATGCGCACACTGATTGACTATTTATACGTACAAGCGGGCGAGGTATTTCACGTGGAATTGCATGAAAAATTAGAGAACCCATGTCAAAGTTGGCAGAAATATTTATGTTTGTTGATTATTTTCCATCCAAAACACCAAATAAACGCAAAAACTACTTAAAAAGAAACATACCAAGAACTAAATACAAAAATATAGAAGATGTTTCCGAAAATTAGATGAAAATGTAGGGCAATTCGCAATAATCCCCTTCACAGTTCACTGCGCCATCTTGAAAGGTAGCCGTGTCTTTGCGTCGAAGTGAGACGAACGGTGAGCTTGCAATGATAAAGACCTTTTTAACACCTTGGACATTTATTCATTCGATGCAAAGGCAGGGCTACCTTTCAAGATAGCTCAGGGAACTGTGAAGGGGACTATCCATGCGATATCGGTTTTCTCGTGAAATACGTGGAATTCCATCCCCAGCCATGAATCTTACTATAGAATACAGAATGAGCGTCCAACCAATTAACAAACTCGAATTCATAAGATGTTTTTAAAATGCGTTGATCATAAAACAGACATTTACAATTTTCAGCACTCGGTTCTGTCTGTTCCATGCTGTACATTAAAAACTCATTTTAGCTTTCTCGACGTAGCAACTAGGGAGGTAAAACAATGAACGCGGTGTGGATGAATAATATATCTTTCTCAAAATTATTATGATCGTGAGGGCTAACATGGAAAAACAAAGGAATTGCCTCAAATTCCATCAAGAAAACAATTTGATTTCTTTTAGTGCATTTTCATCATGCCCAGTCTCGTATAAAGAGATAGTCACCTTGCATGGGTCTCGTGTCCCGTTCGTAACTTTCCTTTCTGAGTAACTATTAGTTTTTTTCTATTCAACAAATTGTAATATTAGTTTCCCAATAAAGCTGTTAAAAAAAAAGATAATGTTTAGGACCCATTAGTAATTTATTCGACTTGCTATCTCAGTAGGCAGCTTTAAATGTTGAATATATGTCTGACCGCAAGGTAAGTGGGTGGATTATGTAATTCATTTTCCACTATGTTTGGCTTCTTCTTGTTATAACATGTATAAACATTACAAACACAAGTATGATCATCCGTGGTCGACTCATGATATGTCCATTTTGGTTCACCATTTTATGCTCTGTTCGTGCTCTTGTTCTATGCTCGTGGTTTGCAATATTCGCGCACTGCTCGATTCAAAAATAGGACGTTTGTATGATGGCGTCATTGACCTCTACTACCAGACTCTCTTGCGCACTTTCTTTTGTTTAGTTAATTAACACCAATTGTCTTACTGTTCTCATTAGGGAATATAAATTTATATAAGAAAGAAAATTAGCTTTATGGTAGTGGGAGTCAAATGAAGCCATCAAGCAAACGTCCTATTATTAAAAAAATATCACTTCAAAAATGTCAAGGTCTAATATCTTTTGTGAGTATATATCAGGAATTTAAAACGGTGCGCGTGGGGTCTACATCAAATTAAAAGGTGCTGTTGGGTCGAAAAGGTTCATCATCAAAGCTAAGAATGAAGGTTGTTCAGGGTAAAACGTTACACCATTTCCATAATTTTCTCTTAAATCAGGATCAATAGATTCTGCTACTTGTAGCATCGCGGTAACCCAGTACCACTTGCCGCATGGTCTGTGGTCGGGTAGTCAGCGACTAAACCGATTAAACTTAATGTTAATCCCATATAGCTTAGTTACTGCGATGTGAATATATCACGATGCACGATTGGCAAGGTCTGGACCATGTTTGATGCAATACTTAATACATAACATACAATACTACTCACTACTTAACTGAGGGTCCTGATGGGGTAAAATGGGAACTGGGATTCGCCTTGTCATTTAGGCTGCGAAAATAAAATTTCATGCACTGAGAATGGGATTTACAAAAAAAAGGGAATGGGAATGGGATTGAGATTTGAGCGAAACATGGACTGAGGACTATGGGATGTGGTTAAAACGGTGGCTGGGCAATGGGATTAGAACACCCACTTCAGGACCCTCATAACTGTCTCGCCACGAAAGGCAACTGATGGAAATGTTTTTCGACTTTTTCTAAGCTGGTAGGGACGAAATAATTCATGTCAAGAAATATTGCTTTTTATTAGATATTCGTACTCCTTACGAATTAAAAATAGACTAAAGAAATATATCACGGAATATCGATATCAATAAGGATAGTATTGGCATATCTTGTATCGCTGTCATTGTACTTTTAATATCATTATTATTATTATTTTTGATGAAAGTGTATTTTATTTATAGCTGTTTATAGCTGCTTTCTAGCTCTATCGTGCAATTCTTGGTTTGCAATAATTTCCAAAGGAGTAAAATAATCGAAGATATTGCGGCCATGTTCAGTGGAAGATATAACAAAGGAGTTCATTGAAAAATATTTTGTGAAATTCTTTCAAAATGGCAGCTGTGACGGCATGTGCTAACGAAAAAATCAGTGAGTAAGTTTTGCATCCGTTACTCATTGGTTGGCTAAAATTTATAGGCTAGTTGATTCAGCGATAAAACCTAGGTTGATAACTAGCTCACATTTCCATATCTAACACATACTATTCACCAATTTAGACGGGGAAATAGTAAAGTTCAGGCGGTAGGCAATACATCATTTTTGCTTCATAGTTGATCCATCCAGAGATTCGCATTACACTTGGTAATGGATTGAAAGTTCTCGATGGAACGCACTTTTCCAGTTGCCTTGAATAGTTTYGGTCAACTTGCATTTGTACTTTAGCCATTTTGATGTCTTCATTTTAAGTTAATTTCTAATTGTTTTCCAAACTCTAAAGCTACCCGAGTGCCGAATGTTATTCTGGAACTATAATATGAACTGACCTGCAGTTAAAGTAAAATATTTCTATATTCTGGATTATAGTCTCCATGACTATTTGTCTAAAAATGCTTTCCAATTATTCTTTTAGACTGGGCGTAATGTTTTCCTAATTCAGATCAAGTGTTATTTCCAAGAGYATCATTTCATGATTAACGGTTGCGCCGTACGATGAGACCATGACACATGAATATTGATACAACTCAAACAAAGAATATCGTTCTTATAAAGTGCATGTCTATTGTAGAAACTATTGTAATAGTAATCAGAACCAACATATGCATCGATCAAAAATCGGTCATCGGTCACATTTTTTTCTCAATCAACTTTTTGATGAGGCACCATTATAAAATAAGGACTTTCAGGATTTATGAAAATCCAAAATTATTCCTCCTATCCTCCATTGATTACAAGACAACTACGCGTGGGCCAAGCATAAGTAGGGTCATGCACGCCACCCTGTATGGCTTCTTCCCATTTTTGCAGGAACCATATGATGCGTACTCCCTACTTTTCTCAAGGAATGTCCAGTTCAGAGAACTAATAAACGCCCATTTTCCTGATACATAAAGACACGGAATGAGATATATCCAGCAGCATCAAGTCATCGAGCTGACAAGAATCTTTTCTAGAACAGATTTCACGCTCACCCTAGATTCGTATTACCGAACCTATAGTAGAGGAAAATAGTAGGTGTAACAGGAATGGAGTAGATAGGTTTCTGCAGTTTGCTGTCGTCGTAAAACTAGCCCAGAGGTCGATTCCCTATAGCTGACAAGAAGCGTTTAATTTCAGCATCATCTAAAAAAATGTTTTCCCCTCGATTTGTATTGCCGAACGTAAAGACAAGGAAGATAGGAGGTGTAACAGGAATAAACATAGATAGGATTCTGCAGTGTGCTGTCGTCATAAAACTAACCCAGAGGTCGATTCCCTCGAGCCGATAAGAAGTGTTCTGGATCTAGAAAACTTAACGGAATTGTAGTTTTTGCGCTTAATTCCTGTAAGCCCTTTATCTTTCAACTCAATCCCCAAAACCTGACAATAAATCTTGTTAAAATTCAATATGAAAAGAGGCGTTGGCAAGCAGAGCATCAATACGACACCAAAAACAGCACAGACAGCGCCAACTATTTTCCCTAGAGTTGTCACTGGATAAATATCTCCATATCCCACGGTCGTCATAGTGATGATACACCACCATAGGGATTCAAAGATGCTGGAGTATTGAGGGTTCACTTCGCTTTCTATATTGTACATAATAGAAGAAAACATGATGGCAGTAATGGCCAACAATATCGCAAGGGAGAAGAGTTGGTGGTGACATAATCGAATGGCGTAACCCAAAATTCTTAGTGCTGCAATGTAACGTGTCAGCTTAAGAAGTCGAGAAACTCGCAGAAGACGGAAGACTCTTAACACTGCCAGAGTAAAACCGTGCTTATAGTTTGTTAAATAAAGAGAAATAAAGTAAGGTAGAATAGAAAGTACGTCGATAACACCTAGAGTAGACAGGATGAATTTTAATTTGAGAGGGCAGGAAAAAAGACGAGCAACGTACTCGAGGCAAAACCAGGTTGTAATGAACGTGTCGATCCAAAACCATGTTCTCGGGCGAACAGCCACAGCTGGTTTACGATCATTTGTTGTGCTATTTACAATGCGCTCAGTGTAGGCATCTACGTCGATTGTCTCTGCACAGAATGCTACGATTGAGAAGACAATTACCAGAATCGAAAAAATCGAAAGCCACTTGGCTTGTCTGGAAGAATCTGGATCCTCTAGCAAGAGCCAGACAGTCCTTTGCCATTGGTTATTTGGTAGCACTTGAATCTTGTCCCGAATTGTTTTAGTGGCGTCTGCTGGAGATTTGATGTCATAAAACTTGAGCTCTTCTTCGAAGACTTTTTCTGTTACCCAGTCGGATTTTGAAAGGATTCCTTTGCTCTGGTAGTAGAATAGAATAGCATCAAATGAAAGTATATCTCTGTCAAAACAATATTCCCCATTGATGGGATTGTAATATGCCATTCGTCGTTCTGTGTCGCCCAAAAGAGTTTCTGGAAACTCTTGCAGTGTCTTTTCAAAAGTTTCAAAACGACTACCTCGCACATTTAATACCACACGCTCCGAACACCTCTGTTTGTTTATGCAGGCCAAAGGCTCGCCAAATTTCTGGTCCATATTTCAAAAAGATATAATCATCATATTGTTACCAAAACATCGACGCTGATTTTAAGTTTTTCGGGGTCTAAAACTCTTCGATGAGTGTCCTGACAGACAAAGACGATCTTCAAGTGCTTTTTCAGTCATTGCCTCACTGCCTTGTCAATCGTTTCGTGGACATCGATTTAAATCCCGATGCCTCATCTGTATTTTCAAATCTACCAATCACGGGCACCAGAATGTAAACATATTTTGCCAGAGGAGAGCTTCATCCGTACCAAATTATAAGCTCGGGATTGCCTTACAAAGTACGTAATAACTAAGAATGATTGGAGTGAAACTCTCTTGAGGGCTTACCTCAATTCTTCAGAAGCTTTGATCAAAACCACATTGATCCTTGGACACAAAATATTTTCATAGTCGTGTTTCAGTGTTTGCATATATTTGTTTTCGTCAATGTCTAATTGATATTTGCGGAAAGAAATGCATGATCTCCAGACTGCCTTACAATAAATAATTTACCAACTCAACACCGTATTTTCTAAGCTTTCCGTCTTGTAAAATACTGATTTACATTTCTGGGATTTAAAGTTCCCGGAATTATCAGAGTCGTTTTAGAAGATATATATATATTTTTCAAATAGCGCTATAGGTTTTCATTTTCTTTGGGAGTTAGTTAACTCATAAATTCTTTTTTAGCTGATAGACTATTCATAGAAAATACCGCATTGATTCCTTAAGTGTAGACCCGTTACCCACGAACAAATAGCTCGTGGTTTCAGTTACCTCATTAATCCAATTTAACTACTGTGGTAACGCTGAATTAGACAATAACATGCTTAAATCAAGATCTCGTTATTTTCACTAGGCCTGCTATCTATTTCACCCGAAGCAAATTTGTTAAGAAGTTGTTCGATGCTATCGATTAAGGGGGAAGCTCAAAGTCAGCTTCCAGGGCGCAATTTGAAGATTTTCCAGTCATTCGCAATATTTTTTACAATAAACCTAATTTACTCTTGACAGGTTCGAGGCTTTCGGTTGATTAAGAGCTCCCTTATTACCAATTCTTTTATCTAAGAATAATTATAATAATATTATTGAACACTGCAACCAATAAGGAGAACCTATAATTTTAGATTAACATATCAATGCAAAACCGGTTGACAAGGTTTTGATAGGCGGCATCAATCTAGCTGTAAGCGTTATCGAAAATTAAACGAGTAAAGCTAATCCCAGCTGTAGTATAATCCCAGCTTGTTTAGTGTATCAGTGGTTGGATTGGTTGTGAATATTAAGGCGGGCAAGCAAAGAGTTTGTTAATGTTCTGGAGAAAGCAGTTATCCTTGGTGGGTAGGATGTATTCCACGTCATCGTTATGATATTTTTATCTCCAACATTACAGCCATATTTACAACGTTATATGATATAAAGAATATTTTAAATTTTAAAAGTGTTTTGTGCTTGTGACTTGCTCAAGAAATGTTAACTTGTTTGAAACTACTTTCACGATACATTTTTATTTTATATTAACTGCATGAATTTCTATTTTCCGAACTTTTTTTTTCGTTTCCTCCCTTCAACTCCCAGCAAATTCTAATTTGATTGCTTCGTAATTGGGTTTTGGACTTTAATGCTATTTCCGTCCACCTCCGAGTGGTAAAGATGTATAAATAAAATAAAATAAAATAAAATAAATAAAATAAAATAAAATAAAATAAAATAAAATAAAATAAAATAAAATAAAATAAAATAAAATAAAATAAAATAAAATAAAATAAAATAAAATAAAATAAAATAAAATAAATCACTGATAATCATGATACAAAAACATCCCAAATACTTTCCAGATCTAGAGTTTCTTTTTAACTATACAGCGAGCTCAGTCATAGGAAAGATTGTTTTTAGGCGATCAAACCGTAGCCACTTTCATAAGCAATGATTATAAATTATTCTAGAAACCATTCATTTTTAAAAGATATGATGAGACCACATAAAACATTTCCAGCCTCACAACTGAACCAGACAAACTCATTTTAAAAGCAAAAAATGTTTTAAAGCCTAGAAAAGTAAAAAAGTTCCAATATTACTTTAGGGAAATAAAGAAAAACTGATTCAGCAAGCTTTAAAATAATGGAAATGTTGTTGAATTCTTTTACAATAGAATACATGTTTTGTTTCAAACTACCACCTGCACAAAACATACATTTGCCAGGGATTGTCTATACACGCATTATAGATAAGCTGAATTATTATTGTTTGAAAAGCCTTCTTAGTTCATTGTATTTAAAATATTTGTACAACAGATAGTGTGTTAACGTTTTTCTAAGAGAAAATTCCAATGAACTTGGCCGAACGGATAATTACTAAACAAGAGTTAAAAATCAATGCTCTTTCATTTTGAGACAAAGTGTTCAAAGTTTTTTATTGAAGTGTTATTTTGTTCTGATTATCTAGATCCATCCCGCTGCTGTGGTTCGATAAACTTTAACATCTGCTATTCGTTTTGAAGCACGGGTGGCGTAGCGGTGAGAGTGCTCGCCTCTCACCAATGCGACCCGGCTTCGAGTCTCGCTGAGCTCGGTGTCGTATGTGAGTAGAGTTGCTTGTTGGTTCTCTCCTGTGCTTCGAGGGTTTTCCGGGTTCTCCGGTTTTCCTCCCTTCGCAAAAATCAACTTCTAAATTTCCAATTGGAGTTACAGTGGATGAAGAGCCACTCTGTGGAAATGCCACTGATAAATTCTTTTTATTTATTTATATTTATTTATTCTTCAATAAGTAATCGTGACTGAGAGAGAAGAGTTTCAGAAGTCTCAGATGGCTAGCAAGAAAGCAGTTATTAATGTCCACATAAATAGGATGTGGATGGGGGCACCCGATTGTCAGTTAACAACTCATTTTAGATTATTTGTCAGTTAACTACTATTTTTTGGCCAATTGTCATTTAACTACTAAGCCCAGTGGCCCCTTAATTAAATGGAAGGTCTGGATGGGGTTTCTATTACTGAGAACTGACAAATGCCACCAAAAACTTAACAGCGCATACCAACTCACAAAAGCCTGAAACTTAGCTGAAAACTGATAAATAAGCGAAATTTCAGCTGACAACTCGGACAGTACCAGACCCTCTTCCACATGATGTCTATAAACAAAACAAAAACATTGGTTTAAATAATGCATCGACTCATTAGCAGGGTGACGACATTGAAAGTGATAGTAAGGCAACCGAGATATTGCGGTTTAAATTTTGGGGGGGGGGGGGGGGGGAATCACGAAAACTACTAATAGACAAATTAAACATCAAGGTTTTTCTTCTCGTTTCAACGTTTCCCTGGCTGTTCACCAAGTATTATTTTATTTATCTACCAATTGAGTTGCAAGCTTTCCCAAGAGTAGTCTTAAGAGATAAAAGTAGGGCGGCCATTGTGGTGCAGTTAACAATGGATGCTAATAAGAAACGTTTGTTAAAAGGCACCAACACTGCCCCGAAAGTCCGCGATGAAATAACGTGCAACCTAATAATTGTAAAGCATTTTTGATTATTATTCTTTTTCTCTAATTCTAATGAATGTTCGAAAATTCTAAAGCTTTTTTATGTAAGCACGGCGAGTTTGGATCTTGTGGTCAGGATTAACTACTGCAAATACAATGTTTTCGAATACTTACAAAAAGGGACAACTTAATTGACACCCTGCTTCGCGTCGTCCTGTTTCAGTGAAGACTGATATATCGACCTCTTTAAGATTGCATACACAACAGGATACCTCATTTATTTGAAAATTATTTGAACGAAAAAATTTGAATTTATGTATGAGGTTGTGGTTTAAATGTGTGCTCGAAAACCGCATTCAGTGAAGAACTTGGTTATGCCTTTGACAGAGTTCTCAAAACATATCTCTATAAACCGTGAATTCTACGTGCGCATTAGTCCATTTTGTTATCAAAAGAAGATAACGAACATGAATTACTGAGAGGAGGAACTCCTGCGTCCCATCATGGGCACGCTTTGATGCTATTTTAAAATCATCAGATATTATTTTTAGAATAGTTTTACTGCATGCGCATACTGTGCGCGCCCAACGCTGTTTGCTCATGTTTTCTTGTGTTTTTCCATAGATGATAACAATACCCTTTATCGTCATTATTTTTCACAACAGAAAAAAGAGAGTATAGCTATAGCGTGCGCAGTATGTGCGTGCAGAAAAACAAACGATACAAATTTGCTGGCAGATGTGCCTCCAAAAATAGCATCAAACGGTGCCTATGATCTATTCTTTTTCTCTTATAATTGTATGTTCAGTTGTTATTACGAGTATTAATTGATAACAAGGACCCATGCATTATATATGTAAATAATATATATTTAGGCACCGCCTTAAAGCGGAGCTCCCGATACGGAAGTCACAGGGAGAACAATTTGAATGAAACTGAAAGGTAAAAATAAGATCGGGGGAAAAATCTTCAATTATTTTTTATCCGAGATAAAGATAATTTTTAAAAACCATGCAGTGAAATCGAATCGAAATGCACTACATTGTTGTTTTTTGTTTTTCTTTGCGTGAGTATACTCTCCCACTTAGGAATTTTGTACACAACTCACCACCACCCCCAGGGGCTAGTTTTGTTCTTGGAAGATTCTTCGACAAAGTTTCCAAGGCCGACAGTTTAAGGCTTTGAATCTCTTTTACCTAAAAAAACGAAAGATAACTACAGATAATCCAACGCAATATCAGGTTTAGTGAATTTACCTCGGATGTCTTTCTGTGAAATCGAAAATCTGGAGATTTAGGACAAATCAAGACTAAAAAACAGACTTGAAAACTGGTTAAGGTGAGCAGAAAATAAACTTACTTAATTACGTCTTTTACAGAACGAGACGAAGTTTACATGATTCAGAAAAACTTGACAAGAACTGCGACAAAATAGAAAATAATGCAAAAGGCAATGCAAAATACAAAATGACTAATTTCTTTATCAGTAAATTGGCGTTGTAAATGTTTTTGAATATTTTCTAGCTTTTTAAAGTGAAAGTCTATAGGTCTATACAATAGCATCTCTCAACAACACACCCTCTCAACATCATACTTGCTCGAACAGCTTAGTAAACAGTTGAATATTTGGTGTAAATTTATGCTTCATTCAATAATCAAATAAATTATCTGTAGAAAGATATAAAATTATTGAATGAAAGTCTT